GTGCCAAAGACTTCGCAGCATATCCCTCTTCGGGGATCTTGGAGCCAACTCCTTCAGGTGAGGAGATGTGCTTTCGATTGGCCTTGCTGTTGATCGGACACTGTGCGTCCATCTGGCGCTTCGTGGCATCAGACATGGCTCCGACCACTTCAAAGTCGTCCACGTGTGGGAACCCACCAAGTGCCTCAACGGGCTCCAGACCATGGCGCAGGGCCTTCTGGTACAAGGCGCGGAGTTGGTCGGCATCCTGAGGTGTCCAAGTCATTTGGTCACACGGCGCGAGATCTAAGCAAGTGAACTTTCGGAAAATCAAAAGGGCTGCAGGTGGCAAAAACATTAACGCTTCACAACATGCATAAAAAGGATTCGCAAAAACACTCTCACGAAGAGTGGCTATTGAATGTATTCCTCACTGATTGCCAGACACACATTACAACAAGACTGTTACTCCCTTGAGAGGCTGCAACTATCTTAATTATTATTGGTGTCCAAAAGCTCCTTGGGATGCGTTTTCACCTTGGTGGAAAGGCTGCGTCTCTGCGTCCGAAGCTCCCTTTCGGCAGCTTGCTGAGCTAGGACATGCTCCTCGGGTGAGATCTGATACGTGGCACTACGTAAACAAGAATGAAGGAGGTCAACTGGGTCCACCTTGTCTTTTGTGAGGGTGTCTGCCAACATACGATTGGTGGGAAGCCAACGAATTGAAGCTCTGGTGGCTTTGATGGACTCTCGAATGATCACAATGACTATGCTTGTTCGTCGATCATCCTGCTGTGGGGATGATGGAGATGTCAAGTGATCATACAAGGACTTACAGTCGGTGGTGAGTATCGGAGATCTAGCACATGCGTCGAACGGCATTGTTTACCTCTCTGAGATGTTTGATCTTACCAGTTTGAAACTTCTGATTATGCCAAGGGACATGAGGTCGGATGTGTGTCTTACACAGCTCACATTCATACTTACGAGCCAATGCAATGGGTCGATCGCTGGCATGTCCATGTTTGAGAACACGGACTAGATCATGACCTGGAGGGTGTCCCAAGTTATGATGCAAACGATCCAACACTTGCAAGAGCTGGTCATCCGTGACCTGTGGATTATCTAGGTCAGCCTTGGCCATCAGTACCTCTTCAGACGTCGGCTCTGGTTCGCAGTTGACTAGGCTAGCAGCTGTTTCCTGACCAAACATGGGAACCGTATCCAAAACAGCTTGGACGAATTGAGGTGTATGCTGCTTGAGCCTACCCCGGGAGCTGACCCCGCAATCGGTTGATGACAGCAGTGATGTGCGTGTAGGCTACCTGGACAGGTCTTAGCTAAGCGCGACATGGATTCATGACTGACCAGCAAACGTGTTGCCTTGCGGATCAGCTTGTCAGAACCAGGAAGTCGAAGGCCGAAGCGGCGCGTATGACACTTCAAGAGGTGACAACGCTGAATCAGCTCTCTCATTTCCGGATAGTTCCACAGCCTGGAACCGAGTGGATGCTCCAGGAGGGCCTGTTTACCTGCCTTCAACTGTTGTTCAAAAAGCTGCGCGCAAAAACGAATGTACAACCGACTTTGAGCGATCCGACGAGTCAGTTCCATTGAATCCAGGTAAGCAGCATTCAGATTGAACCATCCCCCTTCATCAGTACAGGGAGGACACAAAATCAACAACTCAGGAGGGTGTTGCTTCAATTCTTGGGCTACTGCGTCCCTATCCTTCTTGAGGCGAAAATCAGATTCCACATGTGAAGCAAAACTGGGTGGTTTTCCCACCCAACTTGGAACAACCGGTGGTATCAGGTCCGAAATCTCGTACCTGTCGCTCAAGTTGTCTGAGATATGGACAGGCAGGGTCTCCTAGGCACGAAGAAAAATTCGGTTTGCGCATGCGTGACATGACTGGGCAACGTGCGAACATAACGTGACTTACCTAGTTGAGGCTGTATGTTATCATCGAACAGGACTGCGTTGGTGTCCAAATCGGTCACGACCCGGCGTCGGACAGATTGCCACGAAGGACCTTGTTTGCCTAGTGATGGCACTTGTTTGAGATAGCTATCATCACGACTCCAGGACATCAGGTCTGTCGGGCCTGCATCGGCTGTGGTGGCATCAGGTGTGGACACATGGCTTTCCGCAGGACGGTTCGAGATGCATCACCTCGGCAAATGGCTTCAGATTGACGTCGGGCTCACCCAGTAGGTCAACAGTGAATTGACCCGCCTGGTTGGTGCGCAAAGGAACCGTGATCCGCTCATCAAAAAGAGTGAGCTCACTGGCTGCAAAGTCTACCACTGCCTTCAATGTCTTGAGGGCATTCCGAGAAATGAGCAGTGGTGCACTTCCTTGCACGATAGCAGCTTTGATGGTACCTGAACGTCCTCCAAGTAGGACCGGCGCGCTGATGGACTGTGAGGTGGTCTCTTTCTGGCCGTTTCCAAATTTGAAATGATTCACTTCAGACACGGGGCTAGGAATCTTCCAGCCACGGCCATTCCAAAGCGCCTCAAAGTCACGAAGCGTTGAGGCACCAATGATGGATCGGCCGCAACCACTGTCCAACACACCGAAACCCGGTGAACTGACCAACAACTGCTCAATGCTCAATGTAGAGGAGGAGACAGGTTCAGATGTTACTGTCTTGTCCTCCTTCTTGTTGTGCAGGAGCTCCAGCGAACGCCAAGTCACACGATCAGGGGAGACCATGGCCGCTGGCCAAAAAATCTTCGACCAGAGCAGCTCCACTCTTGGAGGTCTTGCCAGACGAAGAGGAGGAAGCTTTGGCGCCTTTGCCGTGACCTTTTGGCTTGGTGCATTCTCTAGCCCAATGGCCAACCTGCCCACATCTATTGCGTCTTGTGCGCCGCTTCATCTCTTCGATCTCAACCTTGAAGCTGCGTTTTGTATCACCGGGATCAACAGCTGGCTCAACTTGGTGCTCAGCCAGGAAAAGCTCCATCTCGGCGATGGCCGAGTCAGCTTCATCGCCTTCAGGAGGATCTTCTTCAACGATGGCGGCAGCTGTAATGGGCTTCTTTTTACCCACAGTTCAGGATAGCAGGAGCGCATTGCTCTTCCGATCTCTTCGCGCTTCAGCGCACCCAAGGAGCGAGACAACACCACCGCCTTCTGCTCTTCCGTCAAACCAGCTCGGTGTAAAATCAACCATCCTCGAGCTTCTTCGGGAAGGAGACATTGACTTTGCTTTGAACTCGATCGAACACCTCAGTGGCCCGAGATACCCAGGCCTTCAATGTCTCTCCGTCATGAGCTCGGAGTTGAAACACCTCAGTCAGGACCTCAGACATCTCGTCTGATTGATCCTTTTGCGGGAGCCTCTGATCCAGCAACTCGAAGATCACCTTTTCCCCTCCGGTCTTCTGGTAGGTGGAGGGTTGCAAATGTTCCACACGCTTGAGGGCCTTTCCGGCCAGCAGGGTGTACACATAGGCGCCCTTGGCATTGTCAGAAACTTTGTCTCCCAGTGTGAGGATCTTGTTGGTGACCCATGTACGCCAGCGTCGATACTCCTTGGCATCTTCAGAATCACCAGTGAAGGTTCGCAAGCCAATGGACTCAGAAGAACTCATGGTATTCACGCTAATCCGAGCAGGGTCCTACCTACTCGGAGCCCCGGCTTTCCGGGGCTCCGCTACCAATCACGAAACCACCCGAGTCGAGTCCTATCGGATTATCGACACCCACGGGCACGCGTGGCATTTTCCTCAGCCAAATGCGGTCCCTGCGGTATGAACGGCACGTGAGTGGAGGCATTCATGCTAGCCTTCAACATATATATATATACACATAATATGATCTACATATATAATACACACATGTGGCTAGCAGGCATCAGCTGGAGTCTACTCGGCACAACGTTCGTTCTGACAGGATTCTCCCGGAGCTGCAGCTTCTCCTGGATCGCCTGCTCGAACCTCCAGGGCACCTGAGCCGTCTGAGGTGCCAGTGACGGTTCTTCGCTTGCAAGAACCACGAGAGGATGAGAAGGAGAACGAAGAGAAGGAGATGAAGCGAATGATTGAGTTGCTGAGCAACAGAGTGTTGTGTTTGTAAATCTCCTCGCCCAGCTGGGGTTTTAAAAACAAGTGTATTGATGGCAGTGTAAAGATTTTGGTTACAGTACTGTAAAATACCACTGTGAAATATTACATGTAACAGGATTGTTGTTTTTTTCTTCACGCGAGTTCTTGGGGTTGTTTACTTGTGAACAAGCAAACATAGGACTCTTAGTATATGTCGTCACAAATTGTGGTTTTATATCAACCTCAAGAACAGCCAATAATCTTCAGATGGGCTGGGGCACTTTGCTATTTGAGCAGCCCCGCGCAGCACTAGGCCCATTGTGGCCCAGAACTCTTGCACTTTTGTGCGGCCCCCGGCCACAAGGTGTATCCTGAGCTTGTGACAGCCATAGAGCTTTGTGGAACCAACTACCAGTGATGGAGGAAACCTTGCACCACCTTGAAGCAACCAACTCTCCGGTGTTGAGGTCCATCAAACACGGTCTATACACAAGCATGGACAGATGGCAGTGATGGCAGCACAAGCAAGTTGGAGCACTCCCTGGTCCGGGTGACGGCGCAGTGCCATTTGGACTTGACCAAGGCTTCGCATTGTTTCCCATCCGCACTCGCTTTTGCGGTCCTAGTTTTATCCTACAGTCTCTGCACCCTGAAGTCCAAAGAAGTGAGCAGGTGCCAAGACGGATTTCCATGACAGTCCTGTTGTTTTGTTTCAGGGTGCAATTTTCCCTGACAAACATTGCTTGCTTTTGAGACTTTGAATACAGTCAAAACTGCGGCATCTCTGTCGCATGTTTGTCCGTTCTGCCATTTGATCGACCTGATCGCATATCCACCAACAGATGGTACCAAAAAGTGCATGCAAAGTGTGGCTTTGTAGACACAGACGGGCCAAATGTGGCAGCTTGTTGAGGTGGAGCTGTTTCTGTCTGAGCTTTTATATTTAAGCATATTTCATGTAAGGCCAACTGTGCTTGGGCTTTTGCAAGACTGGGTCTTTGCGACGAAAGGTGCAATACTCGCTTTTGATCGACTAGTGAAGAGGATGCAAGGTTCTTGAGTTCTTGAGCAGAACATGCGGTTTCTCATCATAAATGCTACTGCTCAAGGCTCAAGTGATGTCCTTTGATCCTTGCAGGTTGCTCACAGCCTTAACCAGCGAGGCCACTCGAGAGCGCAAGTGGGCTGTGTTCATAGATGCTCATGGCACAGGCTGCCCAGAGGATGGCAGAGTTCAGCCCACAAAATCAGATGTGTCACGATCTCAGGGGAACTGGTGTTGATTGGGTCACTTTAGAAGGAAGCCGACCTGAACCAGGTATGCTATGGGCTTGCGCAAAGCTGCAATTTCTGTCTCGGGGCTCAGCTGAGCTCAGTTTCTTCCTTTTTTCTCAAAATCTCCCAAGGAACCCATCAACAAAGCATTGGTCCTAAGGGTCAACCATTAGCTTTAGCGCAACGTCGTATTGAGAGTTGAACACTGACTAGCGTCATGGCTTTGGTACTATATCCTGGGTTCAACTTGGAGGATGCTACATGTGAAGAGATGTACCTTTCGTTCAAACGGCAGGGGCAGGCTCAAGGATACATAAAGTGGGGCCGGAACATGCTGGAACGAAGGGTAAGGAACGGTTCTTGCGGTAATTTCGATTGGATTCCCTTTTTGATCGTGGTTGCTTCTGGTGGCTTCTTATCCCGATGAGACATCCTTTGAGGATCCGTCCATACAGCAACGCAATCCCGCATTCTGGGGGTGGATCGTTCCCACTTAGAGCTCTGCCATGTTTCTTTGTCCTTGTTTGCCTTGTTTTCCCACAAGCCCTTGGCCTGTCCACGTGTCCGGTCCACATGGAAACGACTCCACAATGTCTGACCCGGTACGCGGTGAAACGGTCTTCAGACCAAAGTCTGGAGCTGTGAAAAGCCTTGTAAGGCCTGTGAAATCTGTCATATTTGGTCTGGATTCTGTGGGTCCAGGCAGCTGCGAAAGGGCATTGAACGGGATGTTTAGAGTGACATGAAGCACGACATGGAATCGACGACAGACGTCCCCAAACTAAGGTCTCTCAAGCTTTTGCAGGCTGTCCAGCAGACCATGACCTCACTTCGAGACTTTTCTTCACAGGCACACACTACGCCTCAAAGACCTGTATATAATACATTTCTTCATCCAAGAAGTTGAATTGTATGCATCAACCCATGTCCTTGTGGCCCGTCCTGCACTCAGCATTTGTCCATGGTGGCGTGGTCTTGTGGAAGCCTGGGCGTCCGAGAGAACGCGATGATGGACCGGGAGTCCTCAGCACGGATATATAAGCTATTTAAATCTGTGAAGCTTCATTTCAAACTGACTTCTATTAACAGTTACTGTAACACCCCTCTGCAGGACAACATCGCTGTAGAAGCATCCAGGAAGATCCGAACATTCACTCCGCAGGCGAAAGACACGTGTATAATTACGAAGGATTTTAGCAAAAAAACTGGGCATGGCACTGATGCGACAATTCGATTCTTTTGCAATTGCCGATGCCAGAATTTGGCCAATATGGCATGGGCTTTTGCTACTCTTGATGTCCGCGAGCGGCTTGAATTCTATTCTGGTATTGCAAGTTCAATGTGGCCCCTTTTTGAGGTCACACGAAACTATTTTCGACCATATCACTGGAGGCAAGGCAGAGGTTGCAGGACAGAGGTGCCATTTTTGAAGTTGGTGGAATGGTGGATGCTAACCTTTCTTGTGTTTGCAGGAATTCAATCAACAACATTTGTGCAATCTGGTCGGTGGCTTGTGAATGCAATCAACACTCTGCATCGATTTTTTTTAAATAGTCCATATGGACCACGGGTCACAGGCCTGGGCCTTCAGCACAATCCACCTAACAGATGAGGAGCGCACTATGCGGCGTGGAAAGTGAGAGCTCCTATTTTTGTTCCGATTTTTTGTTACTACTAGTAAGGCACTTGTTACTACTAGCGTGGCACTTGTTCCTAATAGCGAACCTTGTTACTACTAGTGGGGCTCCGTTCTGACTTCGATCACGTAGGATCTTTTGCTCCCACTTGCCGAGCAAGTGATCAGTCGAGCTGACGAATTTACTCCACAGGTGCCGCCGCAGCTTTTGTGATGCTTGGAGCCACATTCTCTCTGGTCTTCCCTTCCCAGGGTCTCTCCAACATCGCATGCTCCTTCGCAGTGCTCCAGCCCCAAACCCTTGCCATTCTCGAAAGTTTAATGTGGGGCCGAGGTACTGGGTCTTGGGCATCACAACATGTTTGAGGCAGGGCGATGTGTTTCCAAACCATGAATGCGAACAATGACATTTTCAGCATCGATTCAATCCAATGGATTTTGTTGATTGTTAGCAGGTTTTGTTCCAGTGCAAAGCTCCCTTGTGATTAGAAAAAGCTCCTGTGATTTGGCAGGCTGTTGGACAAGCATCAATTCCAAAGGCCTACCAATGTTGCTAGCGAGCACATCCTTTGTCATGTGTTGTTCTTGCGGCATAAAGACTCTTTTCCATTGTATCGCAACACTGGTTACCTTGACTCCCTGTTTCAGTTGCCAAGATCGAGTCGTGGCTACTAGGTCAAACATTTCTCTCCTCATGACTTGGAATCCATTGCCTGGGCATTCGCACGACTTGGTATACACAGAGAGGCACAGTGACTTGCAGAGAGGCTTCCAAGTGCAGATTGGTCAAACACAACGACCGCCATTTTCCTTTCGACTTAGATGCAGATGGTTTTTTTGGAGCTGATGAACAACAGTGTGAGTTTTGGCACCCCGACGAAACGCGCAGGTTTTGATGGATGGCATCTCCCAGGCGAAACGCACCATTCCAGTGACCGACACGACGGAGCTTAGCTCCGATGGCGCCATGAACCGCTCTGATGGGGCAGGAAGCCAAGTTGAAGATCGGCCAGTTCCATGCCCTGGACTGGGGTAGAAAGAGACAACTAAAATGGTATTGAGGCCTGAGGCATTCTGAGATGAGACATTCGGAGACTTGCCAGATTGAAAATGATTGAAATAAGGTGAGACATGTTTTTCTTGCGAATATCACGAAGATACAAGATGATACAAGATGATTCCGGATTACCATTGACCAATTGACCAACATATCTTTCTGAACAGTATTTTCCAATCCACATCCAAGAAGCTTTGGAGGATGTTGCCAACCTGGCCTGGGCTTTCGCGACACTCCGAGTGAGGGACAGATGCGTTTGGGAGTCTGGCCTGAGATGTTCAGGATTTTCGACCTTTCACAGTTTGAGCCATGGCTATTGGGTGTTACTATTAGGTAGGAGGCCATCGCTATTGAGTTGGAGGCCATCGCTGCCGCTATTAGGTTGGAGGAAGATTGGGGTGTGCACAACGCCATGTGATGTTTCCTCGAAACCAGCTCCTGGACTCTCGGAACAGAGGCCACCCCTGATTTGTTCCAGGACCAGGAACTGATGAAGACTCTGGAAGAAGCCGCCAAGAACACCCCGGTGGTGGTCCTGGTTCCATTTATTTTGCATCAGGTAATATGAAAGCTGCCATGGATTTCAATTTACATGATTCGACGGTGTACACTTGAATCCAGGTCCATGGCTTTTCTTCCCAGGACAGCAGAACATGTTTTTATGCTCAGTGAAAATCCGACGCTAACTTCCAGGCGCTAAGCCAGATAGCTTGGGCCTTTGCCTCTTTGAGCTGTGCCTGGGACAGAAAGACTGGAGAAGTTTGTGTTTGGGCAGGTAAACCTGACAGTCTGGATAGGGTTGAAGCTGGTTTGCTCGGGTTGAACGCAATCTGGAAGTCTTTCCTTACAGGTGCTTCAGACGCGCTTCTGAACCATCTGTCGGAGGAGGCCATTTTGGCGGAAGTCTGTCCTATGTAGCCAGCAGAATCATTGCCGCAGCATTGCATGATATGAGTATATTGGTGACAGGTCTTGTTGCGTGTTGATGATTTGGAGTTGCAGCAGCTTGCAGTGCCTTGGCTCAACTGGGCTTGCCAGGGTTTGATCCACAAGCCTCGTGTCGTGGTAGATGCTAGAGCTTGACGGCTTTGGAAAGCAAGAAAACTGGTTCTGACGGTGGAAGAGTTGAAATTTACAGGCTTGAACTGATTGAACAAGTGCAAACCTTCCTGTTCTTTTCTGTGAAGAGTCGCCTTGTCACCTGAACCCTTGACTTGATGATCATGGCCGTTGTCCTTACACCGCGCAGGCATTGCTTGACACAAAACTTCCTCGCTGCAGAGTACTTGGCAGGCACGAAATCTCAGCAACCAGATTCTTGGACTGTTCAAACCATTTATGCATCATGCTCCAACCTGACAAGTGGAGGTACAGCAAGGTACAAGTTACAAGTTACAAGAGTCTACTTGTGCATTTTGTTTCTTCGTTCCTTTTGGAAGATCTTTTCCGGTCCATTCCGTTCTTTCCCTGCCCGTGCCGCTTTGGAGGCGCTTCGGAGTTCTGCTTTGGCGCTTCCTCGAGGCGGCTCAACTCGCGGCTCGGCCGTCGGATCTGGACGGTCGGGGGTGGACCGAGCCAGGTCTTTCCCAGAACGAAGGCTCAATGGATGGAAGAGGAGAAGAATGACTTGGATGAAGAGATGCAGAATTTGTGATTGAACTGCTCCAGGAATATTGGGATTTCCTGCAGAAGCTCCAGGCCTGTGAAGAGATGTAAGTCCTGTATAGGTTGACTGCAAGAGCTTGGGGCAGGGGAGGAGAACCCGATTCCACAGAAAAAACTGAAGCGAAGTAGCCTATCGCCTGTCACTAGCAGTGCTTTCTCAGAAGTTTTCAAGTTTGAACAGACAATTTACTTACTGTAGATATATCGGCCGAGTTTTCTGGCTCTCCCCCTCGCCTTTAACTGCTTGAAGGTTGACAACTTTGGGCTTCATGGTAGCTCTTTCGTGCTCCAGCGCTTGGGCATTGGAAAGGCTCGCAGAAGATTCGTCAACGCACAGAAGAACTGCATGCTGTTATGCGGTAGGTCAGGCCGTATGCACAAAATGCAACACAAACAATGAATCTAGCTGGACTACCGCAACAAAAGATTAACACGAGCTCCACACGATCCTTGCTTTGCAAGGGATATTGTCCAGGGAGCGTGGTGAATTGAATCCACAGGAACGTGCTGCTGTTTTCAGAGGTTGTACTGCCAGTCTATGTAGGCAGATGCCGCCTTTGCTGCCCGGGCACAGGATGAAGTCAAGAGGTGCCTTGTTGCAGGCAGAGTGAGGCTAATGATACATGCATGAGATTCATGAGTACTTTGCAGGGCAAATCGAACTACACGGCAAAGTTCCATCATTTGTCTAAGGTATGTTGGGCAGAGCAACGATGCGCTACGAGGGCTTACAAACCAGGTGCCTCAGTCCATGGATTTTTGTACTTCCTTTTTTTTTGTTTGTTGTCACTTCATGCATGAACGAATAGCTGGATGTACTGCATCAGGATGTACTGCACAACCGGGTCCTTCCCTCAGCATGAGTGACAGAGTGACAAAGTGACAGGAGTGTTGTGCGCGTCGACGCAGGTTTGCAGCTTTGCGGAATTTGACTTCAGTATACCTGGGAAGGTTGGCAGCCCGGCCCGGGTCAATTGCTTTTTTGGTAAAAAGGCCCGGCCCGGCCGTTCTTTTCTTGACCTCAAGGAGAAGAGCTTTTCTGGCAAAATGATCCGTGAGAATGGGCGGGAGCCTTGGAGTGAAGAAAGGAGGTTTTGTGTCGATGTGAGAACCTGTTAGCAGTGAAGATCCTTCAATCGGATTTTGGTCCAGGTTCTGGTCTGCCAGTAGATCACGCGGTGGGAAGTGTCGATGGCTTCGAGCTGCAAGTCTCAAGGTGTTCAGACTGTGGAGTCTGGAGACGGTCTCACCAGAACTCATTCCAGAAAAATATTCCTCTTCATTCTCTACCTGTCAAGAAGCATGTAGACTCACCTTTGCTCCTTCTCTTCCTGTGCATCACTTCGTGCAGGTGGGAGCCCTGGTGGATCGAAGCTTCTGCAGCGAATTTCAGACCCTGGAGGAGCCGTGGATCGAAGATCGAAGACCCGAAGCCCCTTCTGGTTGTCCGGAGGTGTTTTTCCGTCTCGTCTCTTTGTTTGGGTTTCCTGAGAAGAGGTATGTTGGGTATCCATGGAATGAAGTATTGAGGCCTCAAAGAATCACCGATGCCTGGACTGCTGTGGATAGAGTCCTGCATGTGCAGGAGCTTTGTGATTGCATCGAGCAGGCTTGCCACTACTTGGCCTGTCATGTTGCAGATCTCCAGCTGCTTCCACTGGTCACCAATCCTGTTTGTGCTCTGGTTGATGGCAACGCTGGTGGCCGCTCCCACCTGTTTTCAGGAAGCAGCTGGGGCTGCACTGCTGGAGAATGTGAGTGTGCGGGGCCAAGGGGGTCAATGGAGGGCAAGTGCTTGGTCCTGTTTGGTGTTCAATCTTTGGTTAGCCTTGCCAGCTATATACTGACCCGCCAGGGGTGCCCAACCTGACCTCGCCATTGTCAACTTGGTTTCGCTCGGCTGGCTCAAGCCAAACATCGTTTCACTCGGCTTGTTTACAAAGCGACGTTTGAGGAGCAGACTCCCTGGAGGTCATGCGATCTAGGGCGGTCTAACACCATCCAACGACACACTTTCGAGCGATGCCATGTGTTTTTCTCTCAAATCCAACGACACACGAGACACAGTGGTGCATGGTGTAGAAAGATCCCCACTGTGGAGACCTAACTTTCACAGACCCAAAAAGAGCGCACAGACACCGACCGGGTCAGTTTGTCGCGAAGATGGAGGGCTCGGGGACGCCACGGGCCCCCTTGCTCCACGCAGATCCTCGACAAGAAGGGATTGGTCAGGCAGCCTGGCAACTGGAAGACTGCTTGAAAGACCGCTTGTTCTCTTCATATCCATCCAATTACAAGGCGCGGTAAATGTCGACCAGCTTGCTTTGAGCCTTTATGTTTGAATGTCGTCCTTAAAGTGAATGAGAATGGGCAGAACACATACAACAAATGCAATGACAACATCTACAATAATTGACATTGAATTCACCAGTTTTGTTGTTTGCAAACTGATTTGAAGAGGCCAGACAACTGCACTTTGAAGTAGCTCGAGCTAATCTTCATTATACCAGAGCCCTGGCGATAATGCTGATTCTCACCGTCTTTGAGACACCTCCCTGGTGTAATCTCGACAACTTCTTCGCGTGGGAAAGCGGAGAAGAGCGCTGCCAAGTCGAAGGGGTCTCGTCCTCCCACATCCTCTTGTCCAACGTGTCCTACATTCCGCCGGGCTGGAGCCTGGTGATCGAAGGGATCATTCTATTCGTGATCGCCCGGAAGCTCCTGTTGGAAAGGATGTTACAGGTCCGCTACTTCAAACCCATTGCCGTGGAGTATCACAGCTTGCCGGTGATTCGCTTTGGTTTGGTCATGTGCCTTTGGAAGTTGGCCGACATGTTGGTCTTCGGCCTCTTCCGCCCCAACTTCCGCACGGCCTTTGTGGCCCGGACGGGATTTCTGGTGATGCTCCCCTCGGTGCGGCGGCTGGGCCATTGCGTCTTCTCGGTGATTGGGGAGTTCATGTCCATTGCGGTGATCTACGTTGGGACGGTGATCTTTTTCGCATGGGTCTTTGTGACCATTTTCGATGATATCGAAGGCATTGTGCATGGCAAGCCGGTGAATCATGGACTGGATTCCTTTTCAAGGCAGCTTCAGTGCACTACTAGGAACAAGAAGCTACTAGGGGCTCCTGGCCGTACCACTAGGAGCAAGGACGCTACTAGGAACAAAGGGCATCGCTACTCCTGGCATCGCTACTGGGATCAGGGAACGTCATGAGAGATTCGTTTTGTCGTCATATGTTGGCCGGAACAGCCCCCGTCTTTTGGCCTTCTTTTGCACGGTCACTAGTCTTGGATAGTATATCTACCGGAACCAGCGTCTCTTGCAGGTCCTTAAACACCATCTTCATTGCTGGGTCTACAGATGACTTTGTAGATTGTCTGCTGCCCACTTACACATCCTACAGAAGCAGTGGATTGCTTTGGTTTGTCTTCCTGGTCATCGTGCATGTTTTGCTGCTCAACCTGGTTTTAGACACACTTGTAGCCGCTTACACCAAATACTCTGAAGAGCAGGAGGAAGAAATCACCAGTGAAAAGGTGCAAGGCATTCTCAACGTCTTTCGAACAGTTTCCAGAGTCACTGATTCAAGTGTGATCACTCGGCAGACCTTCATGGACTTCTGTGAGGAGGGGTGTTGAGTTGTGTCGGCCAGATTTTTTTCCAAGTTGTCAAACGGAAACAGTAGGATTATAAATGGTGCTCATGGTCCTCTGACCTGTGAACATGTTTCGCTGGCCAAAAAGCTCGGCATTGCTGTGCAGAGAATTTCTTGGTGCATTGGTTGGAGGCCATCGCTATTAGGTTGGAGGCCATCGTTTGTAGGTTGAAGGCCGTTGCTATTAGGTTGGATCCTTTAAACTCTTAAACACTGCAGGAATTCAGCAGATCTCCTGGGGTGAGAAGCCTTGCCGGCGAGACAGCAGACATTATGTTCACCACGATGGATGCTTTGATTGTACCAGTCAAGTCACTTTTTGTTTGCCACTCAAAGGAGCGTTTTGAGTCTGGTTATTCAGGGTTTGGTTGGTAGCAAGCCTCACCGAGCATTGTGAGGATGCTGATGGAAGCAATGAACTTGAGAAGGATGAGTTCTTTGGCATTTGTGGTGTGATCCAGTATGATTTCTGGGCTGTTGTCACAGACTCGCCTGTGAAGCAGGTTTTCCCAGCACTTTGGGATAGCAAGGGCTTCAGCTACTTTAGGCAGCAGGTGTACAATGGGAACTTCGACACCTTCATGAATTACGTCTTATTGTTGAATCTCTTGCTGGTTGTCTCTGAGACAGCATACGATCTAAATGGATGGGAAGAGGCCAAACTCATGGAGCATTTGGAGCTGATTTTCTCCTTCGTTTACGTGACAGAAGTGGGACTCACCCTCTGTGTGTATTCCTGGGCAGAATATTGGAGCTCTCGATCCAATCAGTTTGACTTCATGACCACATGGCTTTTGCTGGGTTCTTCTGTTGGTTACGAGTTGGTCAACACTTCTGGCAGTGGGCTGAACGTGAAGAAGTATATGAACATCTTACGGCTCCTCCGTCTTCTTCGAGTTGCCAAGCAACTCAAGAGACTGAAAGCTGTTCAGTTCATGATCGCCACTATTACCAAGCTTATCATGGCTTCACAAGAAATCTTGATCCTCCTTGGAGTCATTGTGTTCTTCTTCTCAGCCTTGGGCTTGCAGCTTTGGGGAGGGACTTTGTACAAGACGCATCCGGCTCTGGAAGGGACGGAGTATGAAGAGAAAGACTTTTTTGTGCTCAACTTCAATGACTTCCTGATGTCGTTTGCTGTTTGGGTCGTCTTGCTTTTGTGTGAATACAAAGATGAGTTCTCCTCAGCCGTGGCAGCCACATCTTCAGTGCCGGGAAGCTGGCTCGTCTTCTTGCTCTTCTATATATTGGGTGTTAGCACCTCGGAAGGCAAAATCAGTTGGCTCTTCAGCAAATCAAGATAGACGGAGTTCTGGGGAAAAACAATTTTGAGCTTTTTCAGTGCCCAAACAGTGTGCCTAAACAGTCGTGAAGGGGTCGCGAAGCGTTTCCCGTCTGCTGTACTGGTAAGTCGTGAGGCATCATTTTCGAGCTGGTGAAAGCGTTTACCATTGAAGTCTTTGTGGAGCTGCACAAACATCGCAACAAAGAAGTGAAGGAATTCCAGGCTTTGAAGGCAGTGGAAGCTGAAGTGACATCACGTGGGCAGACCTTGCATTATCGACACTGGGCCATCGGATGAGTCATGCCGTTTTAGGATCGACATTGGGTCGTTTTACTGTGTTTTTGTTAATCGTTTTTGCCGGCGGCACATGCTGGCAATGTAGCAGCAGGGACCAACCTTGAAATCTTCAACGCTTTTGAGGGAAGTTGTCACGGGATTCAGCCAACAAGGAATTGTCGGGGACCTGACGCTTCATGAGAAGATTATTGCAGCCCTTGAAGAGGTCGAGCATGAGATCCATGAGGAGCTTGAAAGTGGCCATCACGGTGAGAATGGTCATGATGGCCATGCAAATGGCGGCCATGCAAATGGCGGCCATGCAAACGGTCATGGCCATGGCGGTTAGCAATAGTTAAGTAGACATGATTGACATGATTGCTTGGCAAAATTGAGTCTTCGCAAGCCTGCGTGACGTCTGCTGTTTGCGTGACGTCTAACCGAAGCAGCTTTGGCCTTGACTCGGGCACCAGCTCGGCCTCAGGGCTTCCTACGGCTCTTTGTGTCAACCACACCCTGTGTGTCTTGCATTGGAGCCAGCTCCTCAGTAATTAGTTGCCACCGGTGGCAATCGCAGGAGTTGAGAAAAGGTTTGCATGCGTTTTGAAGGCATCCTTCAAAGGCACTGTCGGGGAGACAGTGACAGGTGATCAGTGAAGCTGATCAGGCACTTGCTTTGATAAACAAACGTTTCTGCAAATCTATCTTCTGGCTCGAGTGCTTGAGATCATATGAGTTGAAATCGGGCAAAGATGTTGCTGGACCGCATATGTTGAGGGCGGAACTCTGCTATTTGCGGTTCCCTAGTTTGAGCTCATTGGGCAGCATGTGTTTATTTCTAGTGTTGTCCAGAGAATAGTGCATTTGAACGTAGATAGGCATGTTTCTATACTGTATTCAAAAGACACATGTGCTTCTAAAGTCCAGGAAACAGACAAACGCAGGCAATGCACGCAGCCCTAGTGACAACATGTTCATCAAAATTCGGACGGGTTCTCAAACGAAGCTTTGACCAGATAACCAACATACTGATTTTGGTGGCTTTCATGGATGTTGTGGATCTTTCCGATGATGACGGGGAGATGGAGCAGTGGATTGCGCAAGTAAAGGAAGTCTGCCCATTTGCTTCTCTTGAGGACATATCAAAGCTGCTACTGGACACCAGGGACCCTGTCAATGCCATACATAGGATCCTGGATAGACACTGAGTACTGATGAGTACCCCTTTCTTGTAGATCGAACGTTTTCCCAGTTTCGTCAAAGCGAGTTTCTCTCAATCAATCAAGCCACCTCTCAATTGCTTGGTGCTTAGCCTGCGCTTTCCGACGCCAAGGAAGGCTACCAGCTGCACCAGACTTGAGCGCCAAGTCTGGGGGTCCCACGACAGTCGAAGACGCCCCACGGTGGGGCCCATTGAGACCTCCATCATCGAGAGACATGCGAATTCGCCGTGGAGCAGGACGCCACAAGTTGTTTTGCTCTACAAACCAGTGGTTTTCAGGGTCCATGTTAGTTTTCAGCGGGGTATTGAGATACGAGCTTGAGAATCTTCCGCTTGCATATGTTTACTTGTTTTCGGAAGGATCTCCTTTGCAGCCACATATGGAGCACCTTGCAAGGGACTTAGAATGCCTTCATTTCGCAGGTATCAACCAGTAGACCCGGTGGTAGGCCTTGGAAGTTGGGCGACAAGAAGACATTTCTCAGGAGTGGGATACGCCGATTCTTTTTGATTCTCTTTGTATGATTCCATTTTATGCAGTAGACTCACAGTAATGTTTTCAGCTTTGCCTTTGCACATGCAGAATGGCATTCAATCAAAAGTCGCTTTTTGCACGGCAAGCGGCTGGGCTCAGGTTGTTCTCGACTTCGAGTGGACGGCAGACCGAAAGCCCGTGAAGCCGATCAGTGAAATCACGCAATTTCCTTCTGTGCTGGTTCGCTTAGATGGCCACAAGAGCAAGATCGTGGATGAGTTTAACACATACGTGAGGCCAACGCTGAACAGCGTGCTCCCCCAGTTTTCCATCGAGCTGACGGGAATTACGCAGGACATGGTCGACAGATCGCCATCGTTGGACGAGGCGCTTGGAAAGTATCTCCTTTGGCTAAGGTCCCATGGCCTGGTGGGAGAATGTGGGGAGCGTTTAGGGTCTTGGGCCTTTTGCACGTGGTCAGACGCTGATATCGCTGCGCAGCTGGTACGTGAATTCCATTTCAAGAAGCTTGACATTCCAAAATGCTTTGACCAGTGGGTGGATTTGAAAATTCTGTACAAAAGGCATTACAGAAAAGAAGCAACTGGCGGCCTTCAAGCATGTGTGGAGAGGGTGGGGCTGCGATTTGAGGGTCGAGCACATGATGGTTTGATTGACTCCCGGAACACTGCTGCCATTGCGAGAGGCTCAGTTGCTGCTTTGAAAAACGCAAGGTAGCTGAAAAGCTGCATTCAGTCTGTTTTAAACAAGGGTAGGGATTGCTATGCCAAAATGAGTGAGTAGTGTATCTGCATTGTCATGCTCGGCTGGGATGATTTTGTCTCCCTTACACTCCTTTTGTCTCCCATGGCCCTTCTTGGATGGTGGGATGATTCTGCCGTGTCTTCCTGTGTCTCCCATGGTTCAGAACTGGCGGCAAAAACTTTCAAGGCTGGCTGCTGTCAATCTGCCGCTGCTGTGTGGGGTCGATGCTGCTGCTGCTGCTGCTGCTTTTTTCCGGTTGGATTCCCAGCCTTTGACCGGTTTCAGCTTCGATTTCCGCCTTTGGGCCAGCCGCATTTGTATTCCTTAGTCACAACTTTTCGTTGGAAGGACCTATCACTTCGCTTGCCGTGCTGGTCCCAATGACAGAATATATGCAAAGTTTTGTTGGTGGTCGAGTTGACGCAGGATCTCAGTCAAGTTGTGCTCATGTGGCACGACAATTTTTCTTTTGCAGCTTCCAGTTGCTTTGGGATATCTAGTATTGATTCCACTCTGCACTCATTGACGAGGTGCTGCATATGGCGCGGGGGTCCATGCTGTTTGGTTCCTTTACCTTCCGGCGCCCGACTCGTGGCCTTGACCAGAACGGGTATGCATACGGAAGCAAAGCCAGCCAAGCGGCCAGGGAAAAAGTTTGGCGGAGGGGGGTGTGTAGCCCAAAGTTCCAACAAGGTGCCAGTATGCCAACATCAATGATGGTTGTATATTTTCTGGAGTTGCTCTTGCTGAGGCATTGAGCCAGTTCCGGTTGCTTTTTCCCCATCTTTGCATGGAGGTGGGGTGTTGGGCGAAAGCGCTGCATGCATACACAGATTATATAGTATTATATAGTTGTGAGTCGTGTCAACGTTCTTTCTGAAAACTTCAATGGATAGTTCCTTGGCTGAGAAAGTTCATGCGACTGCTGTTCCAATACATGGGTTCTGGGGTGTGAAGTGTTTTGGTATGGTGTGAAATACCATTCTTCTTGATTCTTAATGCTTTTATCGTCCACCATTTTCGGGCTCCATCGAAGTTGAGGTCTAGTTTCTGTGGTCTCTTTAAGGGTCCACAATTGAGGCCTTATTGGTGCAGGTGCATCGTTTACTTTTCCTTCTTGTGCCCTGAAGCCTCGCAAGGTCGCTTGTGGTCAGATGCCCATGCGGCAAGGCTGGCAACAGGAGACTGCAGGGTTTGTTGACCGAAGGCCAATGTGTTTGCAGATGTATGTGGTCTAATATATGCCAAAACATGTTCAAAGCAGACAGTGCCACTAAAGGTTGCTCTTGTGTTCTGGTGATTGCATCAAAGGCTGGACCTACACCACTAGGACAAACGTGTTTCTTCTTAAAGGCTAATAATTGGCAACCTGTTCCTGTTCCCCTTAGAGAATCCTGCAAGACACCTCACACGGTAGAATTTCCTCCCTCCAAAACTGTTTATTTAATTCTTAATTGACCGTCCCATACTGGCCAGGCCAAATGGACTTCTTAATTTCGACTTTGTCCGGTTTGTCAGTGTCGAATTCATCCGTCCGCATTTGGATGCAGGATTTTGGGCGATGACATGGAGCCGCTTGGACAGATGCATGACACGGAGCTTTGTGATTGTATCAATGATAGTTCTTGCATGGTATGTCAAGATCCTGGAGAGTCTGCAGAGGTTCTTAGTTCAAGTACAGGAGGAGGTGCTTGTGTGCGCTGCTGCAGGGTACCGTTGCAGGGTGCCGGTGCCGCTGCATGCGGCTGCAAGATGTGCGCTTTTGGAGCCTGGATGCCGGTGTCGGCAGGTTCCGGTGCAGAAGTTGCTGCGGGGTGGTGCTGCAAGATGTCTATGTGTGCTTTGGGGCCTGGATGCTGGTGCTGGTGCTGCCCACAAACATGTTTTCCTATCTGGGGTCTTTGCTGGCGTCATCTTTGGAAAGGGAAACAGCTAGACTCCCTTTCCTGTCAAACGTTTGCTATTATTTGTAGTTTCACATGCTGTTGCATTTTGGACACGCCATGACACGCCAGGTGTATTTTTGTAATCCGGGAACACAGAACACAGCAGTTTCCAAAGCACCTCTTGATTTCTGATCAACCCATCACGCCAACACACCTATTTTTTGCCCACACCCGACTTCAGTCGCCCAGTCGCCAAGGTAGTTGCATTTGGCGGGCACATCTTTTGGGCGAAAAGAGCGGCCTTGCACATGGGACACTTAGTTGGGGTTAGTTTTTTGACCTGTCCTTAGGGGCTTTGCCAGCCCTGTGATCTTCCTGTTGAAGGTTTCTGGACCAAGGACACTTTTAGGGCCTGAGGCTTGCAGGGGTGTGGCAAGGGGTAGGTCCAAAACACTTGCAGCAACCTTGAGGTGTTTGGGCTCAAGTCCAGCCTTTTTTTTGATGCCCCTTTCGAAATTCACCAGGACCTCTAAGGTGTTGTTGATTTTGACTTTGCTGGTGGAAGGCACCACTTGCATACTTTTAAGACTTTGACGAAGCACAAATCCTGCCTTCGATGGAACTCCCATGGCCGCTCCATCGGACTCAAAGGGCTTGACCTGGCGTTTGCTCGGTGCCAGGCTTGGTGATCGTCACATCTTGGCTCTCCCAGCAAAAGAACTGAAGAAATTGGGATTGACACAAGGCGATGTTCTCCTTCTTCGTGCCAATGGTTGCCAGACGGTTGCCGCTTGTGAAGCTGGAGGTCGAGAAGGAGGCTTGCTCCTGAGCAGCACAGCTCGCCTGTCTCTTGCTGCAAATGATGGAGATGAGATTTTGGCGATCAGCGATTTTGAAGCTGAAGAGGCTGCTGAAATCTGTCTAGAAATCTCCAGTGTCTTTGCAGGGGCCTGGTCTTCAATGGCTGGTGGACTGGAACTCAACAAGTACTTGAAAGCCGTGCTGGATGGGACGCTCCTGTGCACAGGAGATATTCGGAATATTTCCCTCAATGGTCAAGCCTGGGAGATTCGAATTTCGGGAATTCAGGGCAAGGCCCCTTTGTCGAAGCCAAGAGATGCCGATGACTGGAAAGGCCCTTGGTTGGCCACGAAGAAGACCTCTCTTCGAGTCACAAGCAAGGCGGAGAGTCGAGGAGAGGGATCTCAGAAAACAGACCCCTGGGGTTTCTCTCTGGTAGGAGGATTGTCTGCTGTCATTGAAGAACTCAGAGAAGCAGTTCAGTTTCCTCTACAAAATCCCAAGCTCTACCGGCAGATGGGGATTTCCCCGCCACGGGGAGTACTTCTCTATGGACCACCAGGCACTGGTAAAACCTTGTTAGCAAGAAGCTTGGCGGAAGAGCTGGACTGCCCTTGTGAGCTCATGGCGGCCACGGATTTAGTAGGCACCGGAGTTGGTGAGTCGGAAGAGAGGATTAAATCAGCGTTTGAGAGTTGCAGGCAGCAGGCCTTTGACCGTGGAACTGGCGCACTGCTTTTCATTGATGAAGTTGACGCGGTTTGTCCCAAACGAGACGATGCAAGTGAAGTTGAGAGAAGAATGGTTGCAGCCTTCCTGACCGCCCTGGATGGAGTGCATTCGGGGGACAGCGTTGTGGTCTTGGGGGCGACCAACCGTCCGGATGCCATTGATCCTGCACTGCGACGTGCGGGGCGTTTGGAGCGTGAAATTGAAGTTGGTGTTCCAAACTCTGAAGAGCGACTGGAGATCCTTCATGTGCACTTGTCAAAGCTCCGTCATTCTTTGAGCGAAGAACAGCAGCGGGAGCTGGCCAGGAGATGTCATGGATATGTGGGTGCGGATCTCCGTGCTCTGTGCACCGGTGCAGCTCGTGGGGCACTTCGAAGGGGCAAAGAACAGATCGATTTGGAATGTTGCTTTGAGGCTTGCCGACAGGTACCTCCATCTGCTTTGAAAGAGCTCTTGGTAGAGGTCCCAGAAGTGACATGGGATGATATCGGTGGTTACGAGAAGACAAAGGAAGCTTTGAAAGAAGCTGTGGAGTGGCCGATTCAGCATGCCTGGGCGTTTGAGTCTATGAGCATGGAGGCTCCACGGGGTGTGCTTCTTTATGGACCACCTGGTTGCTCCAAGACCATGATGGCAAAAGCGGTGGCAACTGAGACTGAGATGAACTTCATCTCGGTGAAAGGTCCAGAGCTCTTTTCCAAGTACGTGGGCGAAAGCGAGCGCGCGGTGCGTGAGGTGTTCCGCAAAGCACGGGCAGCCTCGCCCTGCGTCATTTTCTTTGATGAGGTGGACTCCCTTGGAGGAAGCCGAGAGAGCGAAGGCGGTGGGGTGGCAAGTCGAGTGTTAGCTCAGCTGTTGGCTGAAATGGATGGCATCGGTGTGACGAAGAAGCGACATGTTGTAGTGCTGGCAGCCACCAATCGACCACAAGCTTTAGATGCTGCCTTGACTCGCCCTGGAAGATTTGATAGGCTGGTGCACGTTCCACTTCCTGATCAAGCCGCCCGAGAAGCCATATTCCAACGTCAGCTTTCTCGCATGCAAGTGAGCTTGGATATCGAAGCAACTTTTTTGGCGTCCCAGACAGCAGGTTACAGTGGTGCAGAAGTCGTGATGGTTTGTAGAGAGGCGGCCTTGTTGGCAATCCGAAAAGCTATTGCTGATGGGGAAGGAGCGAAAGCGCCTTGTGCAACTCTGGCTGATTTCAACTGCGCCCTAAGAGCTGTCCAACCTCGGATCACCACAGAGATGGCTCAGTTTTATGAAGACTTCGAGAGGAGAATGCAGCGCGACTAAGAAAAGCAGCGAGGGGTCTCAGGTGCGTCGCTAGGGCAGCTAGGGTATTCTGTATGCTGTTTCTTGACGGGACGTGCACTTCTTATCATTCTTCGCTGAAGCTCGGATCAGAGAAGAAGAGTTATCGAGAAGTAAATAAGGCAGTTTGGACCAGGGACACGGGCGGCCCGTTGAGTCATGCAAACATGGTTTCTTGAGCCACCTGTCCATTTACTGGAGCAGAGTGCTGTTTTTTGTTGGCTTCTTTTGAACTGACACCACCAGGACATTTGGACCTGAAATGCATAAAGTGAAAAATCTAGTAACGGGATGTAAGGATATGTAAGGTGCAAGGCCTTTTTTGAAAACTTACTCCACCCGCCGCGCTTGCCACAGCCTCATGACCTCAAATGGCAGACGAATCGTCTGCACCAGGCACAGCTATGTCATGACTGTGCTATCCAGGCTTTGGCGTACCAAAAATCCGCAGTCGCAACCTGCGCAGATGTGACTCTGGTTTTCATGGCAGTGTTGGCAGTGTCGTCTATATACAGTATGTTGGAAAGAAAGCACAGTCACCAACATCATAACATCGCTGCAAGTTCCAAAGGGAACCTCGTCACATTGTGCTTTCCATGTCACCTCGCACTTTCGCAGCATTCCTGCTCAAAGAACACTCGTGTTATATCCCTCACCCGATCTTGGTGCACACGTGCGATCCATGCCTTTCGTTGCGCAAGTGTGCCCAGGAGCAACACTTTGAACAATCCGAATTAGTATCGCATGTATCATATTGGTGTGATAAGATGCAAGAGCTTGACGATGCACATGGGGAAAATGAACCAGAGATACAAGGCCACAACGCCCCAAAGAAACATGTCCTAGAGTGAGTGCATTTTGAGATTTTTGACAATCCTACTCAGCTTTGAAGTTGGCACGCTGGATGCGATGCAAAACTCCTTAAGGCTTGAGGCCTGGAGAGGACTGAATTGGCCTGCTTGTCCATCTATCCACATTACATCTATGAAAAACCCAAGGAGGTTTGAGGTGCTGTGTTCTTTCATTTTCATGGTTTGAGGTGCTCGGAATTGCCGACGGGATGCCGAACACCTACCCCACCGATGCTCGAGACAGCCTTCGACATCGATGCTGACAGCCAAGAGGATGGTGGCCTCGACAGCGGTTTGTTCGGCATGGCCAAAACTAAGAGTCTTTAGACATTTGGAACTGCATTTTCCATTGGAACTGCGGAGTTTGGCACTCAGGTACCACAACGCCCACTGATACTGGTGTCTTTACCATTGATCGCCTCCAAGACAAGCTCAGCAAGCTCCAGGCAAACTGAAGATTTCAGGGGAGTGTGCTTCAGGAGACTTGGGAAGGGCTCACAGATTGCCCTTGTTGTGATGAGTAGAATGAGTATATATATATATATATATCTGTGACTGGGATTCTCCCAGATCACAAAGGTAGCTTCTCAGCCCTCAACCAAACAACCTACGGGGTCTACTCCAAACCAACCTATGTGTGGTCCTCCACCCTGTTCAGCGGTCCACCGCACCTGTCTCCCTTCCTGCTTCCGAGTCGGCCCTTGAGCCAGACCATCATTGTGGTTGGTCTTCATCCCTTCATGGTTTCATTCGAAGGTGGCTTCACTGGCTTGTCGATTCGATCGATTCACACTGGTTGTGTTTTCTGTTCGAATGAAATCGGCTGCTTAGGAAATGATTCCACCCATCGAGTGCTGAAGGTTCTATTCGGATTGTTCTTCAGTTCACTGGTATCATCATAAATCCGAAATTTTCCTAGTGACAACACTTTCCTCATGAAAGTCGAATCCATTGGCTTGGTTAAACAGTCGGCTATCATGATTGCCGTTGAAATCCATCTGCATTCGGTTGAGTCGCTGGACTGCTGTTTGATCAACATGACCTCTATCGTAGTCCTCCATTCTTGGCAGTTCGGTGTAGCCATCTTGTTCACCAAGTCATACAGACTTTTACAGTCTGTCACCAGCAAGGCTTTTGGTTCGGCTTTCAAAGATTCCTCTGGCTTTTGCCATCGGAAACGGCTGTCTTTTATAATTGCCCACATGCATCTCAACCAAGTCAACTTGTCGAGTGACGACGACATTGCATATGCCTCTGCACTTAAAGTAGACCGAACAACCCTACTTATCTGCTTTGAGTGCCATGCCATAGGTGATATGTCAGAGATCCTATTTTCACTCAGTTCCTTAGTGCATGCTGCAATGAAGACACCCTGCTGTGCCTTAAGCTGGGATTCCGAAGCAAAGCTTGCGTCACCGAAGCTGGCAAACGTGACCTTTCCCATTGGGATGGGCTGTACAATGATTGTTGTTTTTGCTGTTTCTTTTGCTTCTTTAAGGACCTTGTTTCCATCGAGAAGGTCTCGAACTCTGGCATCACTTATCCTCTTCTGGAGAAAGGATACTTTTGTCATTATATCCGGACGCGAGTGAACTGCCGCGTACTGCATGCTCCCGCAAAGGGCTCTTAGGTGTTGAAGTTCATTGCTAGTTACCTTTGCTTCAGATTCTTTTCTCCTCAGTTTTGGAACATCTATTGGCTCTATTTGGTGAATATAGTCCTTCTGATTTATCCTGATCGAAAAGTCATCTTGCTGGTCGATGGTCAGTCCGGTGAATTTGAATTTTCTATACTCACGACTTCCAAATGGCAGGTGCTTTTGAATTCTTTCTAATGCTGCTTCGAATCGGCTGTTTCCTCCCCCAATTCCATCATCAACATGTGTTCCAAGAATTCCATCTATCCTGCTTGGATCGAATTTGCTTCTGAGGATGAATATGCAATTATCTAGAGGATGTGCTTCAAACCCTTCATCTTCCAGTTTGCTGCGAAACTCTTTGTAGAACAAGAGAGGTGCATCTACTCGTCCGTATGCGTTTCCTTTCAGTTTCAACACATGCTCATTTGTAAGCTGCAACATCGATTTGAATTCTTCCACCGGTTCCATTGCTAGCTCTCTATCATCCGAACGACCTCGTAGGAAAGCCGTTTTAATGTCGAATGATTGGATTGGCCAATGAAGAGAACTAACCGTTTGGAGTATCATCATGCGGCCATCGCGTGAGAGAGTGGGTGACTCCGTAGATACTATGCCTACTTCAGGGTCTTGGAATCCTCTTATTACTAGTCTAGCTTTAGGTTTCCTCCCCGACGGTGCATTTTGATCTTCTTTCCAAGTCAAGACCCACTTTGAAGACATGATCCGGCTTGGATGGATTTTGTCTCTTAGCAAAGGTTCAACGGTGCTCGTTTCGATCCAGCATTGCAACTCTTTCCGTTTGGCTTGATCGAACTGTTGCTTCTCTTCTTTCGTGAGGTTCCTATACTGCACTTCGGTGTGCGTTTTCTTGGCTGCTCGATTCAGGACTTCTGCATTTAAACACGGGTTCTGGCAAAACTTCTCCAATGTTTTCATTGGCACTACTAATTCGAACGAACAAACATGTGCTTCAGCTTCTAAAGATGCTTCTTCACTCCAGAGAGTGCCCCGGTCATCCACGGCTGGCTGGTTTGTGTCTACCCCTTCAACCATGCAAGTCTGAAACAAAACTGAATCCCCCGTTGATTCAAGTGTTTCTTCACCCCTTTCCAACCCTTCTGCAGGTACTTCCCTAAGTTCCTCTTCTGCTGCTGGATCTATCACCGGAATCTGGCTTGCATCCACTCCCGGACACTTCTCTGCTGATTCGGTGTTCGAATTTCTGCGAAGAGGTTCTTCCTCTGGCTGGGCGTGCTGGTGTTGGGACCTCACGGACTGTTCTGCTTCGGATGGCGTGTATTCTTCTGTATCGATCTGGTCTGACAAATCCGAAAATTGGAACATTCCGCTTCTTTCTTTTAGCTGGTTACGAAGTTGGTCAGCCATCTTTTGCAGTCTTTCTTGATCCCCAACTTGGCTAAAGCCATGGTGGCTTTGGAACTCCCTCAACGACACTGACCTCATGTTTTCCCGAGCTACTCTAAGTAGGCGGTTCAAATGCGTGACCCATATTATTGTTCTAGATTCATGCATTATCACCTGACATGGACCGACCCACCTTCCTTTTTCAAGCATATTCGGGGCTTTTCTTTTATCCCAAATCATGCATAGTTCTCCGCAGTTCCAGTCGTGCTCCCTGCCTCTGGATTGCCGTAAGATTGCTCTTCTTATTGCTTCACTGTTATCTGCGTCAATCATGGCTTTCCGGGCTTCGGTTCGAATTTTCATTCGTTGTTTGAACACTTCGGATTGTGTTTCGTTTCCTGCTCCTAACGAATGTGCAACAATTGTTTCATCACTGCATACTGAACCTGGGATTCTTCTGGCTCTACCTAACACTGCCTGTTCTGGACTAAAGCCCTTTACCACGCTCATGCTGTTCTTTGCTTGGAAGCACTGAGTCAGAGCATAGTCGAAATCCCTGTCGCTTGATATGGGGATGTGATGGTCTATCCTACTCAGCATTTCTTTCACGGTTCCTCCATGTCTTTCTATCCTACCTCTTTGCCAAGGTGCGGCCGTTGTCACGGAGTGGATTCCGTTTTGCTGTAACATGTCTTTCCATTGCTGACTCACGAACTCCCCTGCAAGGTCATGAACCATCGTTTCTGGGGGACCCGCCCAATTCATCCATGTTTCGATGACTACCTTTTCTGCTTCTTCTGTCCCCCTTTGACATCTTTTCCCTAAATGAAAGTGTGTGGATTCATCAAAGATGTGAATAACATAGAACTTCTTTCCTTTTTCACTCTTCCATTCGAAACCGTCTATGGATATCACTTCATTGAACTCCTTTGGCTCTTTCAATTTTCCGGGACTGGTCAACTTAGGACTCACTCTCTCTGAACAAGACTGGCACAGATAATCGGCGGCTCCTTCAATCACCTCATTCGAAAACTTCAATCTTCGAAGATGGGCTGACAATTTTTCTGCTGTTGGATGGCCAAGATTATTGTGCATTCGTTGTATCACAGATTTCTGAAAGCTATCGAGCTTTAGGTAGTTGGGTCCTGAGTTGTTTGTCGACTGGGGTGACCATGCTGGCACTGGAGTTCTCGCCAATGCTTCTATGGACTCGGCTCGAATTTGTCCACCCTCTTGGTTGACTCTTGCCTCTGGCTCGGCTGCAATCGGATCTGAACTGGCTTCTGGAACATTTCCGGCATTGCCTAGTGGTTCGGATCGAACGGGGTCGAACTGTTTCTCCAATGCTTCATCCGGCCGATTTTCTTTCATTTCACCTTTTTGCTGTCCAAACAAACAAAGCATGATATGGCTAGGCATAGCTGCTCTGCGTTGTTGTCTCAACGTCAATCTGTTCCATTGTTCTTCACCTAGGTCAAACAATTTCTTTGTCTTTCTGCATTGACAGATTGTTTTCCTCATTTCATTGGATGTTTCACCGA